GAGTGGCTACGGCTAAACGGGACTCGTAAAATGGGGAGAACCGAACGGAGTTTTGAAAATGGGCATCGTTGTATTGACCGACGATCAAAGTGAAAGAATTTGGGTTTTCAACTCTGTTTTAAAAATCGGATCGGCCTGATAATCGTTGTTTAGTCCGATTCAATCTAAATCGGTTAAACAGCTATTAGTGAACCGACCAGAACCGTTAAATCGTTCGAACCGGACCGGCTGAAAAACGAAAAAACTGATATTTTTGTTTTTTTTTTTAAAATTTAAATCAAACAACGTCGTTTGTTAAACGAGCCAAGTCGAACTCGAGTATTGCTGAACTCGACTCGAACTTTAAAACTTTAAAAGTAAGCTCAACTCAACTCAAACTCACAAGCTAAAAATTATCAAGTTCAACTCAAACTCGAAATATAATATTGAAACTTGAACTCAAAAAGGCTTGAACTCAAAAAAAATTAGAAGCTCGATTGAAGCCTAAAATTCGAGCTTAATTGAAGTGAAAGAATAGTTCACTCAATGCTCACCAAAAGGCTCCATGATTTTGAATGTCAAATTACCTCTATTATTTATAGAACTTAGTTGTGATGCGCTTCTATGTTTCTTAGCAATGTGAGATTGTTTTGTTCTCATATTTTTTTCTTTAGACTTTTGAGATGTTCTTCTATGTTTCTTAGCCATGTGAGATTGTTTTTAAAAGAAATTAAACCAAACAATATCATTTTGTTATGATTTTTTTAACCCCAAATTTATTTTTTAATTATAGTTATATAATTATATTTATTATTTAATATGTTTTACCTTAAATATTATATTGTAGTTAATTTGAATCATTTTGTTTCACTTGATTTTATGGTTTTTAACTTATATATGTTATGAATTGCTTTAAATATGACTTGTGATATAAAAATTATTTTTTATTAAATATTTTTGGTATTTTTATTTAATTTTTTAAATAATTATGACGTCGACCGGTTCTTCCGACCGGTCAAACCGGTTCGACCGGTTGAACCAATGAACCGGTTCGACCGGTTGAACCAATGAACCGGTAACATGACCGATTCGTTAACCGGTCCAGTTCTGAAAACCATGGTTTTCAAGTAATTGGATGAGGTAAGCGATGGTTGCTTAAATACATCACAATTGTCGAACTCCTACGCCTCATGGAAGATTAATTGAATTCTTTAACGGGTTACTAAAAACAAAGGGTAAACTATGTAGATAGTCCCCTATGTTTTTGGTTTGATCGACTTTAGTCGAAAATTTAAAAATTAAAGATGAAATGGTCTGTAATGTTATCGATTCATTTGATTTTAGTCTACCAGCCATTAATTTTCGTTAACCATTTTGTTTAATTCCCTTTTGTTTAAGTATTAACATGGTTAAGAGACTAAAATCGAACGAGATTTAACAATTGAGAGACTAAAATCGAATAAATCGATAATGTTATGGACTAAAATCGAACAGATCGATAATATTAGGGACCATTCTCCCTTAATTTTTAAATTGGTGACCAAATTCAATCAAAATAAGAAAATAAGGGATTACTTGCATAGTTTACCAAAAATAATTCTACAATGGGCTCAAGTGAAGAAGACGAAGCAAATGGGTCAGATCGAGTGGGAAAATTTCCGGATTCAATATCTTATTGTAAAATGGGCTAGGCCCAGTAAATTGGAAATATTAATTAGGCTAATTTGATGGCTAATTCGGATTTAGTATATAAACTATTATTTCATTAATATTTGAAGAAAAAGTATTAGTTGTGTAGACACCAATTTTCGTCTTTATGCTATAGTTATAATTATATAATGTATATATTATCTATACATTATATCATTTACATCTCATTCTTTTTTTTAGGCCCAAAGCCATTACAACACTGGCCCAATAGTGATCCACTACAAAGCCCAGCAGAACGCTTAAGTGGTCCAGACTCAACTGCACACGCGACCCGAACCCGGGTTCAGTACCCGCAAAACGAACCCGAACCAGCCCCTCGACCCGATGCAAATTAGGGTTTATTTGGGAAACCCTAGTTGCTTTAGCCTCATCTCAACGTCGCATGGTCAACAGCCCACGCCTCACGTCTTTCTCTCTGATTCTTCCTGCGAACGTAACTCCATCACCAACGCCACGCGAAGAACAAGCAACCAAGCAACAAATAGAAGAACTTTAGTTCAAATAGGACTCAAAAGTGTAATCTAAAAATAATATATTTTAGACTATAAATACATGTAAAATCAACATGTAAAGTACATTTAGATATACAAGAAAATATACTGAGAGAAATTACACAAAATACAAGCAAAATTCGCAAGAAATATTAGATTGAAACCGATAAATTTTCGCAAAGTTTTCGAAAAGAAAAGGTAAAGTTTGTACCTTTTTCGCTTTAGATGCTTGCATGCGTGTTTTGTTCATCATTTTGGTTCGAATAGAACCCAAAAGGAAGGTTTTGCCAAGGACCAATGGGGTTATTTTCGATTTTTTTAGATCTATGCAACCCCATGGTTGTTTTAAAAAAATCATTCGGATATTTAAAAAGAGGAGGGGAAGGGCTTTTAAAAAAAATTCTTGTTTCGCCGCCGATGAACGACAGCCGGCGAGGCGGCGCGATCGGATTCTGGGTAAATCGAGAACCTAGGTGTGTTCTTCATGGATGAAGAACAGAGGAGAGAAAACGAAGGGTGTGATTTTGATTTGGGTTAGTTTGAAATGAAAATGAATGGGGCGTTTTAATTAGCATTTATAGTCGACCCATTTGGATCGACCCGACCCGAACGGATCCCCCTAGGGGATCCACGTGTTTTCAAGCAACCATGGGAATAATTCCCATTTGGCCCCTCGGCCTTTTGAAAGGTTCCATTGTGCCCCGAAACGCTTTGAAATTTGTCCCTTAATTTTTTTTCTTACAATTTGTCCTTTTTCATATTTTAATTTTCTTCTTTTTTTACATTTCATTATTTACGTATTTGTTTTATAATATTTTTTCACTTTCTTCCTAATACTTTAATTTTTATATACGTTTGTTATTATTATTATTTTATTATTTATTTTATTTATCTAGATGCTATACTTTATATATATATATATATATATATATATATATATTCCTTTTTATTATTAGTTTTATTTTATTTTATAGTCTATTTTTTCTTTCATTTTATTTTTTCTTTCATTTTATTTGTTATTATTTTATTTGTTATTGTTTTTTTATTTAATCCCATTGTTCTTTTCCTCTTCTGTTGTTTTTTCCTTTTGTTTTATTTTCATTTATTTTACCATTTTATCTTATTTGGTTTCATTTTTGTTTCTATCTTTATTCTATTTAGTGTATTACTTCCCCTTTTTTTATCGTTTTATTTCATTTAGTTATTTTCTATTTTATTATTATTATTTTGTTTTGTTTTTCATTTATGTTATCATTTTATGTTTATTGTTTTTTATTTTTACTTATTCTATTTTTTTTCCTTCTTTCCTTGTTTTGGCTTATTATTTTCACATTAACACACTTTCTGTCCTAATTTGATTACGTACTTCACTACAAATCTAATGTTTTTTTATCTTTTAAAGGTATTTCAATCAATCAGAGGTAAGTAATTTGGATCGTTATTTTACTTTTTTAATTTAAATTACAATTTTCTTAATTAAAGATAACTGAAAACTACGTAGTACCGAAATGGCAGTTCATGGGTGCTAGCCCTTCCTTGACTGTAACCGACTCTCGAATCCGACATTTTTTTGGTAAGACGCAGATCAGGTAAGAAATAAGATATCCGATCTACCCATTTGTTTTAAAATAAAAGATCGGTGACGACTCCTAATCCAATTTCCTAAGTTGACGCCCAATTCCGGGCCCAATCGAAAGACGGTCGTGACAGCTTGGCAACTCTGCTGGGGACAGGTAAGTGAATCAGGCCGAAATTAATTTTCGGTTGTCTTTTTGAGCGAAAATTACAAATTTAAGTTTTAATTTATTTATTCGATTCTAATTATTTATCTTTGATTATATTTCAAATAAATAGTTGTACTAACGTTTTTTCAATGATTTCAAATTTTTAAAAATTTTAATCTCAGTCTCTATACCCGAGCTCCGAACCCTTTTTAAGTGGGGGTGAAAGCGACGCCTTCGTGAGAATTTATTCTCCGTGCGGGCCTAGCAAGTAACCTTCGGGATTCATATACCTTATGTCTTCGTGTGAATTTATTCACCGTGCGGACATAAGGGAATGTCCTCTCGAGTTTAACGCAATGCACATAAGCTTGTAATGGGCTTAGGACTAAGGGTATGACAAGCCCAAGGATGCACCAGCAAGGAGAACTCAGTTACTTTCTTTAGAACCTAAACCGGGAGACTAAAAGGAGTTATAGCCCACCCCAAAACCTCATTCCAAACCTAGGCTATCTTGAGTTATTTCTTGATTTACTTTCTGTTCAAAGCATGCGAACTAGAAAGATATACGGTTAGGACTTGTTCAAAATTAACACGTGGGGTAGAGATCATGTCCGGGTAGGAATTAAAGCATGTGGGGTAGAACTTTTTATTTTCATTATTATTTTTTTCTATTATCCTTATCTTACTAACCTTTTTCCTTTAATTTTTATTTTCTTTTAATTTGTTTTTTTTAATCATTTACATTATTCAAAAGAGGTGTTGACCCACAAAAAATGTGTTCGTTAAACTTAAATGATTTATATTAATGGAAAATAGGGTTATAATTCAAGATATGAAAAGCTCAAAAGTCTAGCTATGGTCAAAAAAGACTCGGAATGGACCGGATTTACACCAAGCATGTCAAAAGTTAACTTTTCCAAAACAAGATGGTGAAAGTTATAGGGGCAAGACAAGAAAAAGGTTATTGACCCGAGGAGTCCTTTCGAAGACTACGAGAACAAGATGGAGAAACCCTAGCTGAGCTTGATATCATTGCTGACGAATTCAAGAAACAAGAAGCTAAACTTCGAAAAGTTCTTATCGATTGAGAGTTCCAATGGCGCTGTCGTTAGGAACAGGCTCATCAGAGAGTGAAAGCCAGAGATGCAGTCATTTGAGACTTTTGGGGGCAAGCAGCTTGTCGCTTATACAATTTAGCCAAAGGAGCCGGAACGGTTTGATAGGGTATTCAACCGGCGACAAAAAAAGATAGAAGATGAATCAAGTTATCAGAGGTTGTTCGGGATCTATACCATCAAAATGTTTTTTGTCTCTTCAGACGTAACACTTTTGTCCCCAATAAGGATTATTTATAATGACAGACACATTTTTTAGATCAATACCTCGAACATTGCATGCATTATGCATTTAAACATATTTTGCATTTTGTTATTTTCATTTATTTACATTTACATTAACTAACGATAGTTTGACACACCTCATCCACATAACACTCGTTCAAACAGAAAAAAAAAAACAGGAATTTTACGATGAAAGCAAGGACAGTCACGAAGAAGCAATTTGTGCATCTGAGGGTACATCAAAAGAAGCCATGACAAGAATCCATGAGACATCCTAATGAAGCTTTATCCCATTTTGCAACATCCTGTTTGAACTTTGTTTTTACTTACTCATATTTCTCTTTGTAACTTGCTTTTGAACTTTCTCATATTTCATTTTATAAGGATATTTCAATGAATTCATACTGAGCATTGAATCAAAATTACAACTTGAAATTATTTGAATATCAACTGAATAAAAAAAACTCTGTAAATGATTCAGAGTTACAGATCTTTGACAAAGTAACACGATTAAAAGCCAATAAAACAAAAGACTTTGACCTTACCCAGAAGATACGCTCAAACACCATACCCTTCTCTTGCAAATAACCAACATTGCATTCTCCCTTAATAAGGCTTGATATTTAGATGTGCATAGGAGCGGACAACATGGGGCATCTTTTGCATATGACAATTACTATACTTTTTGTTTAATACGTTCAGTGATGATAATGATCTTCACAGATGGAATAGTTGAATAATCAAATCTAGTTTAGGTCAGTTGTTTGGAAATTGAACTCTAAAGATGAGATTCCTTGACTTTCAAAAACACCTAGACCATAACGGGTTCTTCTTGACAAGCTTAAGAAGTTGAATCTGTATACCCAAATTATAATTATATATATATCTACAATAAAGCTTGATTTGTCCCTCTAGAGCAATTGGTTAAACGCCCCGGCTTTATGGATAAGATTTAGCTAGCCTGATAAAGGTGATTATAATATACAATAAACCTTGAGTTGTCCCTCTAGAGCAATTGGTTAAACGTCCCTGCTTAATGGATAATATTCAGCTAGTCTGATAAAGGTGATTATAATATCTACAACGATATTGAGTTGTCCCTCTAGAGCAATTGGTTAAACGCCCCGACTTTATGGATTCAGCTAGCCATACAATGGCAAATTTAAATAAGGAGTTTCGGTAAAAATGGACTAAGGAGTTAAGGAACACCTGTTATAGCCAAATTCACACGAGCACTCAAGAATTTTATTTTTAGACCGATATTTCTGCATTGTCTTTGTTAGAGGAGATTACAAAACTTAAACAAATGGAAGATTTCAGAGAACCGAAATAGAAGGTATAGTAATTGATAATGCTAGTTGCGTTATTTTGTCTGCATCCAATTAAAATGCCAAGCCAAAGAAAAAGCATGTTGCAACAAAAAAAAATGACATTTTTTATGGCTGAAACCTTAGGTCAACCTAAAGCCAACTTATCCACTTGAATATTTGTCAAAAAGCTATAACTCTGATAGCATTAAAAGAGCTATTGATTCTTTTTGATATTCTTTGAACTCATGTTTATAATTTGATTCGATTTGATTGAGAGCCTGAATTAAGGGGCAATGTTTTACATAATTCTTCTATTTTCATATCTTTTTTCCCTCCTGAATAAGAGAAAGGAAAAAACATTTTCAAACAAGACAGTCTCAAATGTGAAAGGCTACAACCCTAGAAGAAAATGGGGCATGATCGATTGTAAGGATTAAGATCGGTAGACAAAGCACGAGACTCCGTCCATGGCTAATTCATATTGCATGCATATTAGACATACTTAAGAGCATTACATTTATCATTTTCACATGCATAATTTCTTGCAGCTTTCAGAGTCAAGTTTCGACTTCATGACGAAAGATACTCGATTCAAAAGCTCCTTTAAAGATCGATGGTGGTTGCTTGACTTAGCAGTAAGAAGCTACACCTCAACCGACTTGACATATCTACAGATCTCAGAATCAATTTCAGATGGGTTCGAGAGCCAATTCAAAACGAATCCATATCAGCTTAACTCAATAACGAGTAGCAGGTTTCCAGTTAACATTTTCAAGCCAGATTGCAATTCCACGACGAAAGATATTCGGTTGACATAATTTATCAGTGGGCTTTCCCGTGAAGGGGAGTCATCCTAAAATCATATATTACTTGGTTCAGACCCGCTAAGAGGAACCACCTGAAGAATTATAACCAGCTTAGACCCGTGAAGGGAAGCCATTTTTTAAAGAAACTATTGGCAGCATAACTCAAGGCTAGAAGGATTATCTGCCAACAAAAGACCTTCGAGTTCCATTACACTCAGCTCAAAGGCACAATATTTGCAGCATAGCTCAAGGCGAGAAGGGCTATCTGCCAATAAAAGACCTTCGAGTTTCGACTACGCTCAGCTCCAAGGCATATCATTTGCAACATAACTCAAGGGTAGAAGGGTTATCTGCCAATAAAAGACCTTCGAGTTCGACTACACTCAACTCCAAGGCACATCATTTGCAACATAGCTCAAGGCAAGAAGGGTTATTTGCCAACAAAAGTCCTTCGAGTTTGGCTACGCTCAGCTCAAAGGCATATCATTTGCAGCATAAATCAAGGCTAGAAGGGTTATCTTCCAACCAAAGACCTTCGAGTTCAACTACTCTCAGGTCCCAAGCACATCATTTGCAATATAGCTCAAGGCAATAAGGGATATTTGGCAACAAAAGACCTTCGAGTTCGACTACGCTCAGCTCCAAGGCACATCATTTGCAGTGTAACTCAAGGCTAGAAGGGTTATAAGCCAATAAAAGACCTTCGAGTTCGATTACACTCAGCTTAAAGGCACAACATTTACAGCATAACTCAAGGCGATAAGGGCTATCTGCCAACAAAAAGACCTTCGAGTTCGATTACGCTCAACTCCAAGGCACATCATTTGCAACATAGCTCAAGGCAATAAGGGCTATTTGTCAACAAAATACCTTTGAGTTCGACTACGCTCAGCTCAAAAGCATATCATTTGTAGCATAACTTAAGGCTAGAAGGGTTATCTGCCAACCAAATACCTTCAAGTTTGACTACGCTCAGCTCAAAGATACATCATTTACAACATGACTCAAAGCAAGAAGGGCTATTTGCCAACGAAAGACCTTTGAGTTTGATTACGCTCGGCTCCAAGGCACATCATTTGCAGCATAACTCAAGGCTAGAAGGGTTATCTGTTAACAAAAGTCCTTCGAGTTCGATTACACTCAGTTCAAAGGCACAATATTTACAGCATAGCTCAAGGCGAGAAGGGTTATCTGCCAATAAAAGACCTTCGAGTTCGATTACACTCAGCTCAAAGGCACATCATTTACAACATAACTCAAGGCTAGAAGGGTTATCTGACAACAAAGACCTTCGAGTTTGATTACATTCAGCTCAAAGGCACATCATTTGCAGTATAGCTCAAGGTGAGAAGGGTTATCTGCCAACAAAAGACCTTCGAGTTCAATTACATTCAGCTCAAAGGCATATCCAATTTACAACATAACTCAAGGCGAGAAGGGTTATCTGTCATAAAATACCTTCGAGTTCGATTTCATTCAACTCAGAGGCAAATAAAATTTACAGCATAACTCAAAGCAAGAAGGGCTATCTGTCAACAAAAATTATCGAGTTTGATTCCATTCAGCTCGGTGACACATCAATCGCATTACTTTTCGATGGAAATCGAGGTTTTCAAGTCAAGAAGAAGAGCTGGGTTAGTCGTGCCTTAGTGACAAGAAACTATTTTTTGGCAGCGCAGCTTAAGTCGAGAAAAGCTATCTGTCAAATAAAAACTTTCGAGATTTTATTCAGCTTGAGGGCCTATCAACCACATGGTGGAATCAAAGGATTACTTTCCAGTCAAATTTTTAAACCAAGGTCTTTAAATCGAGAAGGGGACCGAAGCGGACTACAACGAAAAGTCACATTTTGATTCCGAACTACGACTATCATTTCAAGATGGACTCGACTTCGCGACGGAGGAGCCATCCGCAACTCAATTCGACAGGGAGTTATTTTTAATTGAAATATCAAAGTCAATTTTCAACTCCACCGAACGAAAAATTGTGTCCTTTTATCTTTGTCCTATTTTTTGTTACACGAAAAAAGGACAAAGAAGGGCAACAGTAGACACCAATTTTTGTCTTTATACTATAGTTATAATTATATAATGTATATATTATCTAATATATATATATATTATCATTTACATCTCATTCTTTCATTTTATTTTTCAGGTCCAAAGTCATTACAACAATGGCCCAACAGTGATCCACTACAAAGCCCAACAGAACGCTTAAGTGGTCCAGACTCAACTGCACACACGACCCGAACCCGGGTTCAAGACCCGTGAACCAAACCCGAACTAGCCCCTTGACCCAATGCAAATTAGGGTTTGTTTGGTAAACCTTAATTGCTTCAGCCTCATCTCAGTGTCGCATGGTCAACAGCCCACGCCTCACGCCTTCCTCTCCGATTCTTCCGGCGAACGTAACTCCATCACTAACGTCACACGAATAACAAGCAACCAAGCAACAAATAGAAGAATTTTAGTTCAAATAAGACTCAAAACTGTAATCTAAAAATAGTATATTTTAGACTATAAATACATGTAAAATCAACATGTAAAGTACATTTCGATATACAAGAAAATATACTCAGAGAAATTACACGAAATACAAGCAAAATTCGCAAGAAATATTATATTGAAATCGAGGAATTTTTGTAAAGTTTTCGAAAAGAAAAGGTAAAGTTTGTACCTTTTTCGCTTTAGATGCTTGCATGCGTGTTTTATTCATCATTTTGGTTCGAATAGAACCCAAAAGGAAGGTTTTCGGCCGAGGACCAAGGGGGTTGTTTTCAAATTTTTTTAGATCTACGCAACCCCGAGGCCGTTTTAAAAGTGAGGCGGCGCGGTCGGATTCTGGGTTCATCGAGAACCCAGGTGTGTTCTTCATGGATGAAGAACAGAGGAGATAAAACGAAGGGGGTGATTTTGATTTGGGTTGGTTTGAAATGAAAATGAATAGGACGTTTTAATTGGCATTTATAGTCGACCCATTTGGATCGACCCAACCCGAGCGGATCCCTGGGGATCCGCATGTTTTCAAGCAACCATGGGGATAATTCCCATTTGGCCCCTCGGCCTTTTGAAAGGTTCCATTGTGCCCCGAAATACTTTGAAATTTGTCCCTTAATTTGCTTTTTCTTACAATTTCATCCTTTTCAGATTTTTTTTTACATTTCATTATTTACGTATTTGTTTTATAATATTTTTTTCACTTTCTTCCTAATACTTTAATTTTTATATTTATTATGATATATTATATATATATATATTCTTTTTATTGTTAGTTTTTTTTATTTTATCAATTTTTTCTTTCATTTTATTTGTTATTGTTTTTTTTGTTTAATCCCATTGTTATTTTCCTTATTTTGTTGTTCTTTTCCCTTTTGTTTTATTTTAATTTATTTTCCATTTTATCATATTTGGTTTCATTTTTGTTTATATCTTTATTCTATTTAGTGTTTTACTTCCCCTCTTTTATCGTTTTATTTCATTTAATTATTTTCTATTTTTTTTATTATTTTGTTTTGTTTTTCATTTATGTTATCATTTTATGTTTATTGTTTTCATTTTTACTTATTCTATTATTTTTCCTTATTTCCTTGTTTTGTCTTATTATTTTTACATTTACACACTTTTTGTGCTAATTTGATTACGTACTTCATTACAAATATAATATTTTTATCTTTTAAATGTATTTCAATCAATAAGAGGTAAGGTATCCGATCTATCCATTTATTTTAAAATAAAAGATCGGTGGCTACTCCTAATCCAATTTCCTAAGTCGAAGCTCAATTTCGAGACCAACCGAAAGACAACCGCGATAAGTCGTAATTAGAAAACTTTAAATAATATAATTTGTTCATTTAATCTATCGTAAATTAATTTGTTCATTAATATCCTTCGATTTTATATCCTATTCAATATTACTATTATGATAAATCGAATTACTGTATTTTATATATATTTGAATGAAAAGAGAAGGCAAAGGCCAAGTTATCTAGCTGCAGGCTGCAAGCCGAACGTATGGGGGACCAGCAAGGTCACGGATAGGGGTGTAAACAAGCCAAATCAAACTCGAGTATTACTTAGCTCGACTTAAACTAGAAAACTAAATTGATAAACTCAACTCGACTCAAAAATTCACTTAAATTTTTCAAACTAGATCGAACTCAAAAAATAATATTAAAACTCGATTCGAATTCGAAAAGACTCGAACTCAAATAAATAAATCAATCAAAAACTCGATTGAAACTCAAAACTAAAGCTCAATTCAAGCTCGATACAAACTCAATAAAAGCTCGTTACAAGCTCGATACAAACTCAATTCAAGCTCGACGGATTAATATTCATTTACTGAAAACCCATCCCCTTTTATAAACTCATTTTACCCCCTTATTCCCCGTGGACAACCGACGTGGGATATCAACTCACAAATGCATAATTCATATATTCCAAGCTTCTTTTCACTCTCTGTTTAAAAAATAAAGCTTCCTGAGGAATAAAAAACCAAACCGGACTCGTGATAACGGTGACTGAATCCATTCGAGCGTTTCTCCTCTCCGTCTCCGACGACCAGTGTCTCTCTCAAGAGCTTCGAGAACTTGCTGTCGCTCTTTCGTCGGCAACCAATGCATCATACAAGCAGATTCGAAGCTTATGGATCCAGTCAGATGTTGAGACTAGGCCCGCATTGATTTCTCTTTTCTCCGGATCTAATTTCGTTTTCGCCAGCCCTAAACCCAGAGAGAAGGTAAAATTGAACACGATTTAGATTCTAGCGTTCTAGATCTTTCATGGTCGCGTTTTCGTTTTAACCGCGATGCATATTTTTCCTTTTCTTTTTGAAATTCGAATTTGTAGAGTGAAGAATTGAAGGAGAGGTTAAGTAAGCTTAAAGAACAAGCAGAGAGGAGAGAGTATCAGGAGCTTGTTAAAGATATAACGCCCAAGAAGGATGTCTATGAACCTTTCTCTACTTACAAGGATCAAATTGGCTTTGGTTAGTAGTTTTCTTTGATAATAACTGTCATACTGTTTCTTAACAATATCGTTTATTACTTTCGGTGATATATGAATGAATAGGTTTACATGTTGCGCTGATAATGTTTATTGGGTATTTGGTTGGACATTTTGCATTCAGAGCATTGTTTAACAACAATCCCATCATGGTAATTTCAGACTAGGAATCTCAAATATAAAGTATTTATGTTATGTGCTCCTTATTTTAGATTATTTATTTAAGAATTGAGTGTGCTGACGATGATGTGTTTTATACTGCAGAATTCTGCTGGAGGTATTCTTGGATTGGTTTTTGGCATGTTCCTTGAAAAACTTTTGTTCATTATCAGAACTTCGGAGCCAAACCTTAAATCCCCGTCCTCGACTTCGAGAATGAAGAAAAATCAATAGACTAGCTAAGAAGAGGTGGGTTGTGTTTTCTTTCTTACTGCCTATTTTCCATTATAGATCTCTTATGTGGGTTTAAGAACGAAACTGTTATCTCATTGTAATCATAGTGATATGGTATTTTATTTTAATGTTCTTTGTCATGAACAACGTTTTTCCCTGTCCGATGCAAAGGTTGTGTAGGATTATTTTTTAAGTTCTGGTGAATGCTAATAAATAAGAGAAGAAATAGAACCTTCTTTAGTCATGGTGAAAGTTAAAATTTTTGAATTCTCTTCTTCCTATATATGACATACATGTCAATGTTGAATTAATAAATCATTCTCTTTAAGAGACATGAATAATCAGTATCCAAGTTAATATATGGCTAAGAGCCTAAGGTTGTAATATGTTTTGGATCTGAAACTGCTGTGAATATCCTAATGCCGCATATATTCAGAATTGTGAATTGGGTAGATATTTATAGGGGAAACAATGCCAGCAAATGTTTTAAAAGGATATACTTGTTTTAAGGATATGGAAATGTAGAAGCATGGAATGAAAATTTTATGATGAAATATAGAGGTGAATTTGGTTTACAGAACATAAAAATGAGAACTTTTCAGCATTATAATTCTGAGGATTTCATGAAGATCTCAAACTTTTAAAACAAATAGATAAATGAACTTGCGGCTTAGTTAAGATTTAATTGTAAAGATGGAGAGTCCCAAATCCAGGGAGGATAAGTAAGCCTGAAGTTGGTAGGATAGAAATTAGAAACCAATGGTGGCGCTCTTCAAATTGAACTCTCCCATGTCGTATCCTCTGTCCTACTCCTTGACACCTTGTAATAGTAATCAGTATGAATACAATCATCAATGAAATATATGTGGCTCCTTTTAATGCCTTTGACTCTCAACTCAGAGAGTGAGAAAGACTGGCTAAGCGCCCCCAAAACAAGGCATATTTTCCCAAATATTCTACTGGAATCCAATTCTTCAGACTGAAATCTATAATGAATATTTCAAACATAGTTCTGTAGCTGATTCTGGTGAGAGTTTGATCCTTCCTGTGGTACACAAGCAGTAATTATCGTATTTCAGCAAGATATCAGTCTTCAGTTGAGTACCGCTTGTTCTAGGGCCTGCTTGGACTGGTTAAGAACTCTGTCATCTCTGGAGAAGGCGCATTGAGGTCACAGGTAAATATTTTTCCAGTTTCATGCAAGGGCATAAACCTATCCTTTTTGATATATGGCATCTGTAAAACCCTAGACCCTAAATACTAAACCATAAACCTTAAACCTTAAATCATAAACCCTAAACACTAAATCATAAACACTATCACATAATTATAAGGGATAAGATGTCTTAGTTTTATTATAGAATTTTTAATATATTTTTAAAATTTTATAATTATCAATAATGTATTTTTAATAATGTAATTTTAAAAAATCTAAAATTATAATATAACATTTTTTCGAGCTGCTCACGAGCTTTTCGAGTCGAATATCGAGTAGCTCGTTTCGGCTCGTTAAGAAATTGAGTCGAGCTCGAGCTCGAGTCGAGTCTATTCAATCCGAGTATGTATCGAGTCTTGATCGAGTCGATCTCGAGTAGCTCGCGATCTGTCTCGTCTCATTTACAGCCCTAGTCACGGAGATGGAGCCCAGCGAGAGCTGGAGGGACATCATCAAAGGTTGACAGGCTGAAATTATCTCTGCAATGAAGTTTGGCCATGGCATCGGCAAGAGCGTTGCTTTCACGAGGGATCCATATGGAATCGAAGGACTAGCTTCTATGGCAAAGGGATGAGATGGCCCGAACTAAGGGAGTATGAGCAGGAATAAGACCAATATTGTTGAGAATGTTGGCGGCTTGAGCATTATCGGATTGAACCTGCATGAAATCGAGACCAAAGGACCAGGCGAGTTGCAGACCAGAGAGAATACCCTATATCTCAGCATTTGGGGGGTTAGAGATGTCGATAGCTTTATTAAAACCAAGGAGCCATGTTCCGTCTGATGATCGAAAAATACCACCAACAAAGCTAAGACCGGAGTCAGCATTGACCAGGCATCATAATTGAGACAGTACCATCCGCTCGATGGGTGCATCATGGCAATGGTGTAACATCCTAATCCAATTCGATCAGAAGGTCATCAAATTTGGATGTTACACAGAACCACATGAATGGCTAACCACTTTTTAAAAAAAAACGTTTCATGAAGGTACCATCCATAAAATTTAATTACCAGACAAATACGAAATATAAGTGTTTAATACGGGGGAGCTCCCGACATAAGTCTCCAAAATATATCATTAATTTAAAATACAAAGTTTAAGAATCAAGATACAAATAAGGATCTATGACAGTACATGCCCTCTAAAACTCTTGAAACGTACTTTGAAGAAGTCGAGTCTGGAATCCAAGTCTAGCGAAGAGCTCTTCAACTAGCACATACTGACCTGCGCACGAAAACGCATTCCATACGCTGAGCTCATAAGATCAGTGCCACAAAAAATAACCAAGTTATACTACATGCATCCAATATATAAGCATGATACAATATAACCATGAGCAATGCAAAACTCCAAGAAACGATAAGTATCATAGTGTAGTTCGGGGTCACATTACATCACGGAAGACATGGCTCACACCACTATTTACTTATAACACTTAAGGAAGACCTGGGTCACACAACATCAGTGTCTCCTTAACATTCGGGTCAAGTTCGGGTCACGAAGCATCGGCACTTGCTCCGCTAGCCTACTTCTAAAGAGTACTCGGGATATGTCCGGGTCACGTAGCATCGACATGACATCCAACTAACATTTTAAGTGCCCAAGCACTAGATTGGATATATCAAAATATTTTACACACATAACGCTCACATTGTTAAGTGAATCGAGTGTCCTCATTATTTCCTCGAGTATCAAACAATACTAGTTTTATGTCACTTTATTTCGTAGCGTTATTAGTCGAGCTTGATCATTACCATTAGTTTTCGAATTTAAGGTTTAGTAATTGGCTAATCAAAGGACCAAACTAAACTTCTTCAAACATGCTGAGGCCAAGACAATATTTCTTAACACTTTGGACCTCTATTGAATGAAATTCTATCCTTTTTCATCGGAAAAACAATGAAGAGATCGATCCTTTATTTAGAGGGATGGGTCCTTTTCCCTGAGGGACCGATCCATTTGAAAAGGGATTGATCCTAGGCACAACAGAGAGTTTGGGATCGATCTTTTTGGTCGAGGGATCGATCATTTGCTGAACAGAAACTTTGGGATCGATCCCTTTGGTCGAGGGGTCGATCCTTTTTATGGGAATGACTTACTTATGCTTGGAAAACACCTAAAAATCAACCCAACAATTACCCTTAAGGCTAGCAACACATGCTTAACGTCTTATTTAGTGTCTTAGAGGTCAAAGATACTAACTTTCAAGCTTACAACACACAAATACGAATATTGCCATGGAAATTACTCTAGCATGCTTCATGAACTAAACCATATCATTTATGCACATTTAATGAACTGCATGTGGTATGGACAAGTTATAATCGTGTTACCTTGAAACTAGGTTACTGAAAAAAGTCCTCAAATCACCCAAGGACTAGCTTTTCTTTGCCTCTAGCTTTTGAGCTCTCCCCTTGCTTTTGCACTAATCAAATCAAGCATAATGAGTTGTTAACTCATTTTGAACCTTAGGAAGAAGCCAGAAATGTTTCCTTACAACTTAAAACTCATAAAACGATCCATAACTTAGGATCCTATAAACCCCCACTAAAACTTGTTTTTGGCTAACTTACTCAAACCTTGTAAAAGAGAACTTAATTTGAAGCTTAAGAGGTGTAGTTCATGATTCTTACTTTATAATTCATAGGGGATGCTTGGTTTTCTTAAAGGTTCAACCTTTCTTGATTTCTTTAATGAGAAGAAGATGGTAAGGAAGAGAGGAAAAAGAAAAAGAAATGTGAGGAATGGCTAACATACGTGATATCATCCCAATTAAATGGGATTCAAACTTTCTTTGAAAATTTGGGATAATTGCTCACCTAGTCCTTCTTCCCTTGGTTCGTGATTAAAATCATCTCCTTTAATAGCTAGTTGGGCTCATCACAAGCCCAAATCAAATCCACTTGGGTCCAAAGATTCATATACTAAGGTAAAATTATTCATAAGCCCAAAAGAATAAACCTAAAACTCCTAACCCTATTTTGGGGCGTTACAAATGGCTTGCTCGATGGTAGTCACATTGAAAATGATATTGTTTTTTTCACTTCCAGACCTGCCAAAGGGAAGAACAAAAGAGCAATGACCAATAGACACACAAATCGTAAACAATATCATGAGAAAGTAAGTTACTATCAAGCCAATCATTCAGGTCAATGAGAAAGAAGGATCAAAGATTAGTGGGGTCAAGAATGGCATTCCAAAGAGAGCGGGCATGAATGCAATCTATGAGACAGTGAAGCTGAGTTTGATTTAGAGCTCCACAAACTGGACAAGACGGGGTGAGGGAGATGCCACGACGGAAATGTTATTGATTCTTTATTGTACACTTATGATAGAGGACCCAGAGGAAAACACAAATGCGCATGGACCATACGGTCTTCCATTGAGGATCGATTTAGTGCTAAGAGGAATCGACGAGTTTCACATGGGCAGATTGAATGCTGAAGGAGATGAGGATATCCCAACACCATGAGTAGGGTTAGGGGGAACCGTGCTAAGAATATGGGGAAGGACATGAGGAAGAAAGAGGGAGGAAATGATAGGAAGGTTCCAGTCACCATCAGAATTAGTGAGGTCTTTGGGGGAAGAAATCGATAAAGGAGGATGATGAGGGTTGGGCTAATTGTAGAGGGGTCCGAGAGAAGGAAGCCAAAAATCCTCAAGGGCATGAAGACTCTCACCATTACCAATAAGCTACGACAAGTTACTTTTAAGAAAGTCCCAAACGTTCGAGATGACTCTCTAAAGGGGAGAGCACGAATGACGGAAGATGGAGGGAGAACATATGAAATGTATACAGTATTTCTGGCGAAGGGTCATGACCCAGAAGTCATCTTTGTTGGCAACTAGAGAAAAAGAAAGTTTGAGCATGAAGGCAGTATTGTGATCATTGGAATGGTGAAAACCGAGACCACCACATTGAAGGGGTTGACAAATGTTGTTCCAATTAATAAGGTGGATTTTCCAGTTAGGGGTGGTAGAGCCCCAGATAAACTGATGATGATTTTGTCAATTTTATTACAAGTGCTGATGGGGAGGCGAGAGGTCTACATGAATGTCAGATAAGACAAATTTGGCAAGAGTTATACGGCCCGCCATCAAAAGAGATGAGGTCGTCCAGACATTCAAATTAAACCTCATTTTGTCAAGGATAAACTCGTAATCAGATATACGAGCTCGTTGGTGGATGACAGTGAATCCTAAGTAATTGCCCAAGGACAAGACTCTCTGGAAGCCTAGGGCACTACAAATAGCATCAATGGTAAGGGTCAGAGTAATAGGAGAAAAATAAATATGGGATTTACGGGTACTAACACGGTGACCAGAGAAATGGCTAAACTCGAAAAGGATTTCAGAAATGAGATGTGCATTGTCAATATCAACTTTAGCATAAAGGATAAGGTCGCCAATGAAGAAGAGATGCGAAAGGGGAAGGCTATGACGAGCGAATTGGAAGGGTTTCCGGGAGCCATTATCAACGACGCACTGGATGTTGTGCCCAAGCCTTTTTATAACAAGAACGAAAAGATAAGGGATAAAAGGTCCCATTGACGAACACCTCGCTAAGTCTTGAAGGCCGTGGAGATGGAACCAATCCATTCAACGTACATGGTGGAAGAGGTGATGCATTCCATAATGATGCAAGAGAAGCCGAGGGGATATCCACATCATTTAGAGAATCGTGAATTAAATCCCAGCAGAGATGATCAAAAGCTTCCTCAAGATCCACCTTGATAGCCATCCAACCTTGTTTGGTTTTCTTGCTATGTATAGAGTGGACGATCTCTTGGTTCAAGATGATATTTTTCGTGATCGATCTACCTACAATAAAGTTAGTTTGGGTCGGGAGAATTAGGAGAGACATGATAGGCTTGAGGCGACGGATGATAATCTTGGTGATGAGTTTATAGGGGCGGAACACAAGCTGATATGTTTGAAGTCGGTGAAGGAATGAGGGGTCTTAACTTTGGGGATTAAGAAAATGGACGTGCGATTGAT